CCAAACCCAGAGGCAGAGGAGGGGAGACTCTGTGTGCAGAGAACTTGATCAAACTGAATGCCTTGAAGGGCACCGCAGTTTAAAGAGCAAGCAGTGATCTGGGCTGATGGGGAGCAGAGCAGGCCAAGGCTTGTGTTCCGGATAAGATGCCGTGAGTGCCAGCAGAGCAGACAAGGAAGGTGATAGAGGACGGGGTGCTAGTGGAGCCCCTCCAGGCACCACATCAAACTGCATTTAGGGACGAACGTGACATCGTTCTGGAAAGAACCACAAGGTGTCCTCAGGTTCTGTGTGAGCTCTGTGGCCCAAGAAATCACGTATTCATCCTGCTTCTTCCCACCTTTCTCCAAAGCTCTTCCATTTTGGTGTGTGAGTGTATATATTTCTTACTTTTGGTCGATTAGAATAAAAGCCTCAGTGAGAGCATTTGCCTCCATGGTTTATCACCAACTTATCTTTCTAAAGAAGAGGATGACTCCAGGACATGAGGTCATTGTGGCATCTTCAGGCCAGGGCGATAGTAGCCACTGAGACTCAGGTCTTCACTAAGCAGGAGTCTGCAGATCTGAGGGCTTTCAGCTACGGTGTCTAACTAGCACTATTTTTTGTTGTTGTTGTTCGGGGATTGAACTCAGGACCTCACTCTTGCTAGGCAGGTGCTGTACCACCAAGCCATGTCCCCAGTCCTAAATAGCCTTCTATGTCGCCCTGCCACCACCAAGCCACCTGGGCATCTACAGATCTCAACTAGATCCACAATCATGAAGCTTTGTTATCTGTCACTGGCTACTGACTAAGCTACTCCAGGCCTAGAATTTCAGCTCTCCTCCCCTGAGCCTCAACAGTGCTCCTTGGCGCAGGCTTCTTTTGGCAGTGCCTTAGTCTCAGCCACATCACCGGTCCACTGCGGTCTCCTCACAACCAGCTGCCTGTTGGTGGAGGGCAGGCTAGCGTTCCCTGCTGCTGGCTGGAGTCATTTCCTCCTCTAAGGTAGCACGTGGCCTTCACCCTGGGCTGTTGGTATCAAGCTACCAGGATGGGAGTTCTTCCCCACATGTGGTCACAGAGTTCTTCCAGAAATGCTTCTCAAAGCCATGGCAACCCCACTTTGTGCAGGGTAAATTATCTATGCTAATTCGACACAGGACCTGGCTATGTAATGGGCTTAGGGAAGCTGCCCCTATAGGAAAGATGTACAGGAAAAGGCAGAGAGCCGGTGCTCACCACAAGGCCACTCTGTATCCCAGAGATACAGGTATAAAAGCTCTCCCTCCCCAGGGCCCACCACCCTCCGCCCCACCACACACACATACACCGAAGCCTCTCTGTGACTCTGGGGTCCCTTGCCTTTCCCTCCAATGAGTACAAATGTGTCATGCTTACAACAGAGTCCATCCATTTACCCAACAAAGTATTTGATGATCACCACATCTAGGCAAAACATGGCTCAAAACACTGGGGATATAAATAAAACAAATCAATTCCTTCTCCCATGGACTTTACATACTGTTGGGAAAGAGACACTACCCAAAGACATAAATACGTGTCAGATGGTGATGAGCAACATAAATAGAAGTAGGATAGGGGGCTGGAGTAGAAGTGAGGGAAATGAAGGTCAGAAGGCTGCAGGCGTGAGCCCTGCAGACGGTGGCAGAAACAGCAAGGCCAGAACACGGGACACCTGAAAGCTGGAGGAGCCCCAGGAGGCAGGGGTGGCTACCGTGAACAAGGGAGGGCAAGCACAGGGGTGGGCTGCTGCGGTAGAGACTACCAGGCCTTGGTGAGGAGCAGGAGAAGTGATCAGATGACGGAGTCACACTTGGGCTTGATGTCGCTCATGCTGTAACAGAGCATTTCTAGAGAGAGCCCAGGTAAGCCAGGGCTGCCAGGTAAAGAGGCTAGCTCAGAAATCCAGATAAAATGGCCATGGGTGGTGTATGCCTTAATCCCGGCACTCAGGAGACTGAGGCAGGAGGATCACCATGAGTTTGAGGTCAGCCTGGGCTACACAGTAAGATCCCATCTCAAAAAGAAGAAGGAAGGAAGGAAGGAAGGAAGGAAGGAAGGAAGGAAGGAAGGAAGAAAGAAAGAAAGAAAGAAAGAAAGAAAGAAAGAAAGAAAGGGAAGGAAGAGAAAGAAAGAAAGAAAGAGAAGCTGGTGATACAGACTCAGTGACAGTGGCAACGTTGTCAACCGCCATCCACCATCCGTGGGAGCCCAGAGGTGCCCAGGATGGTCCTCAGGAACAGAGTTCCCACTTTCAGGCAGGGTCTGCCCTGTGGCCAGACTCTTGACGAGACGCTGTCACCCCAGGTGACCTCTCCAGCGTCCTCTCCGGATGTGTTCTCTTCTCCTGGATGACTCAGTCTGATTCTCCACCTTAGCCTCCCCTTCCCTGGCGCCCCGGGCACTGTAAGGGCCCTGAGTCAGGCAGAGTCTCTCCCACCCATGGAAACTTTGCAAGTTTTCCTCTCCAAAACTTCTTTCCACATGTGTGGCTTTCTCTCTGGAGTCAAGGTCTTCTCATCTGGCTCCCTGTAGGGTCCTCATAGCTGTGCTAAAAAACCTCAGTTAGAAGTGTGGGGTGAGTTATTTATCCCATGTCTGGATAGCCAATGAAAATTAAGGCTCTGACCTTCCACAGCCATTAAGACTTTTCCAGAATATTCCACGACAGTTGAGCGTATTGAAGATCTGTTAGAAGACGGAGGCCCCAATCCACACTCAGAACTCTCCCTTCTGTAAGGATAAATAGTCCTGTTTTCAGTATACTTTAAATACCAGTTTGATGACAATTTCTAAGACAGGCTGTATAAGCCCCAGGCCAGCAAGGATGATTTCATAGTTCTAAGGTAACCTGAGAATCAGCATTAGGACCAGAGAAACCACCCAGCAGACTTGAGAAAATTGCTTTACACGTAAGCAAAGTGTCCTACAGCTTCAGAGTTCTCTTTTTGTTTAAGTGATCACCACAACTTCTAACTGCTGAGCTTATCACACATGCTGGGTGTTCCAGAACAGCCCAGTCCTAGTGCAGGAGGACCAGCCCCACGGTTCCGGGAGACTGAAGGAAGCAAACAGATTCCAAGACTGTTAGGGAGCTTATTAACCAAAGCATGAGACTAGTTGGACCCCTGAGATTTGGGTCAGAATGGGAGGTATATTTTGGGTTAGGAGAGAAGTGACTTCATTCTGATTGGAATGTACCTGGTTTATCTTAAGTTAATATGAAAGATCCGTGCACATGCCTGCAACCAGGTTCCAGTTGTAAAGCCCCACGTGCCACTCTAATGGCTTGGGAGTTTTGTAGTTTTCTGGGAAACTGCAGGAAAAACAGAGTAGGGTTACTCTGGGTCATTCATGGCGGTTACAGTTCAAGATGACTGTACCCATGTCGAGCTGAAGCCATACCCCAGTTGCACAGAGTTTATTTGAGGGGCAAGATAGGAGAATGTGCCCTGGTCTCTGCCCTCCTAAACTCATGGCCTACTTTGGTGCAACAAGACTGTCTCAAAAGTGAAGTGCTTAAAAGCATTTATAGAGCAGATGCAAATAAATGTCTATGAATATTCTGCAAACAGAAGGGGCGGCTGGCAGGCAAGGAGAGGTGGGAAAGGCTAGGGTGGTAAAAGGAGAAAAGAACATTAAAGGCTCCAGGTTGGGAAGAAGTTCGTGTTTACTCCCAAACTGCTGTCCCATCTGCTTACCTTAATGTGGAACTATGACGGGGTGGGGCAGCTGTGGGGCGTGTTGGGGGCAGTACTTTGCTGTCCACTTGAGCAGCAAAAGCAGCTCCCTTGTGGGGACTGGCGATGTGCTGGGAATCTCTGAGGCAGAGGGAAACAGAACAGTAGCCGGAGGACAGGCAGCCAGTGGTAGAGAAGGGAGGTCTTTTGCTCCTTCACTTGCTCCCGTGGGGGACTGGTCCCTTTTACTACATGGTATTTCCTGATCCCCAAAGTAGTCATCACACAGGTGCCCACACCACAGTCAGTAGTCAGTCATAGGTTCCCCCTCCCACTTTTCCGAGAGAGAGCGATTTCCCGCAGGGTACCATGCAGGGCTTCTGTATTTATGAGGCTCAGAGACAATGGGAGCAGGGGCCTTTGTGCAAAGACCCTACCAAAAGTGCACCTCTGCCCAGGACAGAGCTTCCCACCTCACTCCCGGAGAACACTTGCTTTGAGCCATCCCCAGGGAAGGTCTTGGGTTTGATGTAATCCAGGATTTCTCAGACTCACTTGCCCATCAGAGTTCTGTGAAATGCTTGTTAAAAATTCAGAAATCTGGCCACCCAACTACCACTACTGAATCGGAATTTCCAAAGGGATCACTTTCTAAACACTAGTTCTGATGACAGGGTGAGCTTGGGAACTTTCACTAAGCCTTGTATCTCTCTTACCCATGGGAAATCTAACATCTACCTCTGCTGGACAGCTGCTGCTGGGCTGGGCCCACACTGGAGTTCTTGAGAAGAAAAGGTTTGTTTTTTGTTTTTGTTTTTGTTTTTTTCTGTATAAAGACCAATAGTGATAATGACAGTAATGACTAAACTTATCAGCTGTGTGCCAGGAACTATATATAGGGTGACATGGGGCCAAGTTATCTCATGCAGTCATCCCAGTAGCGTAATCAAGTGGATGCTGCTGTTATCTATAATTTTTTCAGATAAGAATGCAAAAAAGAGGAAAGATAGGTGGCATTAACCAAAGGTAACACAGCCGGCAGCTTGCAGAGCCGAATCAGTAGTCAGGCTCCCAAACCTTCATCCCCTCTCTGCCCATCATCCTTACACATAACTGATCCTGGGACTGCATTTACAAGCTTCACACTCTAGCTCACACCACCACCAGTCCAGTTCATACCAACACCTTGCCCCTAGGAAGGAGAGAGGCAACGAGAGCAGAGCTGCACCTTAGAACTCACAGTGGGTGCAAGGATACAGACGGAGGGAAGGGAGGCTGAGGGAAGAAGACTGACCGCCCTTGTTTGGTCCTCAGGTACTGGAACTCCTTAAGCAACCTAGTGGCATCCTTGCTGAACTCTGTGCGCTCCATTGCCTCCCTGCTCCTGCTCCTCTTCCTCTTTATCATCATCTTCTCCCTGTTGGGGATGCAGCTCTTTGGAGGGAAGTTCAACTTTGATGAGATGCAAACCCGGAGGAGCACGTTTGATAACTTCCCCCAGTCCCTTCTAACTGTGTTTCAGGTAGGAACTCTTCTCTGCTGGGCTTCCAACCAGACAAGGGTGGTTCAGTGGTGAAGGTGGTGGGGAGGAAGAAGGAGCCTTGAAAAGGATGGGAAGTATCACCCGTTTCCTGGGCACAAGGCCAGCCTGGACCAGCCCTGGAGGGTCCATGTCTTGGGGAGTCTCAGCTGTTTTTGTAGGTTCCCTCTCCCTAAGCCCCTGTAGAACCCCAAGTAGGACATCTGTTGCGAAAAAAAATTACTGAGTAGTTCAAAAATGCTTTCTTAGCTATGAAACCTGTTAGTCAAGTAAATTCTATGTGAAAGCCCCAAGCAGAACAGGGGAGGTGGGGTACATCATGGGGCTCTGTCTTTCCCACCATGCTTGCCTTGGAAAAAGCTGTACATAACCTATGAAGTAGATTGCATAGGTATTTTGGTTTTTGACAAAGCTAACATAGACCGATGTGTAGAGAAAATTGAATACTTTGTGGATGTTGCTAAAGTTTAAAGACAGCACCCCAAATGACTGATGTGTGAGAAAAACTGGAGAGGCATATTACTGTCCCCAGGAACACATTCATAATTGTCAGGGCCCCTGATGCCTCCCCACAAGGAAGGCTGGTCCTACCAGGCCCTGCATGTGGATAGTAGGAGGTATTTTGACCAGAGAGCCTTTTCAGCTATTCAGATACTTGCCAGTGGCCACACACTTTGTCTGGGGTGCCAGGGTCAACACCCTGTAACCTTCAGGAAAGAGAATCAGGACCCAGGAGGAGGGACAGTAGCGGCAAGGAGATTTGGGGCATTTCTGTTAACGCAGTGGGGCAGGGCAGGGGACTTTTGGGTTTGCTGTTGGTCTAACGCTGTGTCCCTTATTGGTGGGAATGTGTCATTCAGATCCTGACCGGGGAGGACTGGAATTCGGTGATGTATGATGGGATCATGGCTTATGGCGGCCCCTCTTTTCCAGGGATGTTAGTCTGTATTTACTTCATCATCCTCTTCATCTGTGGAAATTGTATCCTTTGCTGCTGCCCCCACCCCCTGATGCCCCTACATTCAGCCTGCTAAACAAGGCCAGAAAAGGTGTTCCTGGAGGGCCTGGCCCCTGGGGCCCCCAGGCAAGCCAGGGAGGCTGTCATGGAGAGGAAGCATGGCCCAGCTTAGAGCCACTCAGCTGTGGGTGGCCTGGAGTGGGAACTTGTAACTTTGGCATAGATGAAGTGGTATATTCAAGTTCTCTAATCGAAGCACACTGCTGCCTGACTCCAGGAGGTGCGTTCTGATCATAATCTAGGTGAATGGCGCCCCCTGGTGTTGTGGCATGCACAACCACTCATTATAGACAGCACAGCTGGAGATGGGGCCCTGGTGACCTGGGGCTGTGGCATCTAGAGGGAAGGAGGACTGAACCATCATCCTTGAAATGTCCTTCATCTCTTCTTGCATTTTGGTCAGTGTGCCTCCTCTGGAAGCTATTTTCTGAGACTTTAGTCACAAGGAGAGCTAGATGGATCAACAAGCTGACCTAAGAGATTCTTTCTGATCCAGACCCCGAAGGGTCTCAAGCCCATGTACTTTTCCCCCCCATCCCTCTAACTTCGTAAGAGCCTGTCCAGGGGCTGGGCAGTACGGCAGAGAGAGCTCTGGCTCAAAGCTCCTGCATTAAATCCCAGTTTATGGTGGTTCAGAACACACAGATTGAAGCCTACAAACAGGGCTTTCCATTTTACTGGCTGGGTGACCGCCAACAAATTAAAGGCTAACTATCCTAGCGTCTGGGAAATGTGATTCACTTCAAGCATCCTCAATCCAAAATCTGAAATGCTCCAAAATCTGAAACATTTGAGCGACGACATAACACAACATGTGAAAAATTCCACACCATAAATATTGGTTTGATGCATAGATTATTTAAAATATTGTAGAAAATGGCCTTCAAAATATAAGGTATATAGGAAACATAAATGAGTTTTGTCTTTAGAAGTGGGTCCCATCCCTAAGATAGCTCAGAGTGTGTGTGCATGTGTGTGTGTGTGTGTGTAAATAGTCTAAAAATCTGAAAAACATGTGAAGTCTGATTATTTCTGGTTCCAAGTATTTTGGATAAAGGGTGCATGATTGCAACAGAAGAATAATAACTACTACTTCAGGGTCACTGTGAGTTTGAGTAGAAAATGTATCCAAAGCTCCTACCGTGTTCCAAGGCCTCCTTTCGCACGCCCTGCCTGGCCTGGGCTTCTCCTTCCCTGCATGAGAAATGGTGTGAATTTCTGGGTACCCAGGGTAGGGGTTACACTTAACAAACTTGAAGTCCCCTCTAGCTGTACCTTCTCCGTTCTGTAATTCTCTGACCCACTGTGTTTCTGTAGGTGGGGAGGTAGGGAAGGGAGAACTGGCAAACGATTGGCTCTGCCAGGAGAGAAGCATTGCCCACTGCAGCCAGACCCTGCAGGAGCCTTTGTACATGTGGTTCACATTGGGTTGGCAGCAATACCATGCCACCCTCTCAGTGCCCAGTTACATGAACAGCTCCTAAGAGGTTTTTGCATTCTGCTTAAGACAATGTTGTGTGTAATGTCAATTACAGGCAGTCATCTCAGTGGGGAAACCAATAATAAAATCCAACAATTAAAGAGCAAGGCAGAGCTCACTGCTTCACCCTGCATGCTCCAGACTACAAGCTAGCCTGGTCTCTGCCACTCAGAAAACTTTAGGGGGTGGGCAGAGTAATGGGGAAAGAAGGGGGAGGGACGCTGTTGGACTCTGAACTTCAAAGTGAGTCTCTGCTGGGGAATTCAATCTCTCCATGTCCTACACCTTCCCTGCCCACTGTGCCCATCAGACACCCCAGGGCCAAGGTCATTTTCTTTAAGAATGGACACAAACAGATATCCTACTGAATGTGTTCTTGGCCATTGCTGTGGACAACCTGGCTGATGCTGAGAGCCTCACTTCTGCCCAAAAGGAGGAAGAAGAAGAGAAGGAGAGAAAAAAGCTGGCCAGGTAACCCTCTAAGCTCACCTGGGTCCAGTTCTGGAATGCCGTCCCCACTGGTGGAGAGAGACTTGGCACCAAGCTCCGGAGGCCATCTCTCCTGAGAGAACACGGCTCGGGTCTTCCCACAGTAGCTTCAGGCTCTCTCCTAACGCCCAGGCATTGCTCTGAAACCGGGCCCATCTGTGACTGATCATCCCTGCAAGGGTGTTGCACCCATCTAGGAAGGAGGAGGCTCCCCTCTAAGCAGAGAAGCTGTGGGGAGAGAAGGAAGGCGAGCTTCAGAGGGGAACCCAGTTCCAGCCTAAAGAGTAATGCTTCCTTAGCGTTAGGCACCCTCTCCAGCACTGGGAGTGCAAGAAACGCCCCTAAATCATGTTTCTCTCATCATCTAGCCCCAGCTCACACCTCTGCTGGCTCCCAGGCAGAGTCCCCCCCCACCCCAAGAACCAAACCAAATGAGACCCAGAGCCATAGTCACACTCAAGGCCTGATTCAGCTGAGGAACTGGAAGAGGCCAATCAAGGCCCAGCCCAGGCACTTGGGGTTAAGCTGTGCATGTACTGTGACCAGGCAAAGGACAGTAGGTGGAGCCCCTGGGGGTCTACTCTCCCTCCCTGCTACAGACTGGAGGCAGTTCTCCTCTACACTGTCCCCTCTCACTCCAGTGAACATCCATTTCTGTTTTTTCTCCCACTGACCGGCCAGGACTGCCAGCCCAGAAAAGAAACAGGAGGTGGTGGAGAAGCCAGCAGTGGAGGAGACTAAAGAGGAGAAAATCGAGCTGAAATCCATTACCGCTGATGGAGAGTCCCCACCCACCACCAAGGTGAGTAGCTGTCCCCTTCCAGGACCACCACTGAGGAAGCAGGACCGGGGTTGGCTGGTTCACCATCCAAGGAAAGAGGATGGACAGACACTCGGTGGAGACAGAGGCTGGGGATGTGGGGCGGGCAGACAGGGAAAGGAAGGGAAGATGACTTGGCTAAGTCCCAGCCTTCTACTGATGACCTCGAGGGGTTGTGCAGGGTGACCATTGTAGCTCTGAGCCCAGCTACTGAGTAGTGTGACTTCAAGGCCGCTCTGGGCCCCTGAACCTATCGCCCAGACCTGACTGCGTTCTTCCTCTTCTCTCCTCGGCTGCCTAGATCAACATGGATGACCTCCAGCCCAATGAAAATGAGGACAAGAGTCCCTACCCCAACCCCGATGCTGCAGGTACCACTTGCCCTTGAGACTGGGAGGCGAGGGGTAGAGGCCTTTGCCCTGCTGCCCTGCGGAAATACCCAGGCATGAGGGGTCACTGGGCCTCGTTCCCGCTGTAGTTACCTGCACTTCCCATTTCTACATTTAAACCTCGCCAGCCACCACCAAAGGGAAAACTTTTTTTCAGATTCCTCATGATACTACCTGGTTAAAGAAGATTACATCTGAGCAGTGCTGTTTAAAATTTTTTAATTGTTTTAATTGTTAGTTAAGTATAAAATGTAAGAGGCACTGTGTGATACATGAGTACGGTGTATAATGATCAAGTCTGGGCAACGTTTCCATCTCCTTAGCCATTTTTAATATTTTTAACTGATACGTACTAATTATCATACAATATTTTGGGGCTCAGTGTGATACTTCAGTACACAGTGCATGCTGATCAAATCAAGGGCATTAACATTCTCATCTCCTTGTCACTACTTTGTGTTTGGGGCTGTCAAACTCCTCACTTCTCTTTCTTCATAAGATGTTTACTGAGTGAGGAACTGTGGTCCCCTCCCATTCATTCTGTCCTATAAAATGGCAGAACTTGGTCCTTCTACCTAGGCAAGCTTTAGTACTTGCTGACTGACCTCTCTTTATTTCCACTTAGTGCTCTTTCAACCTTGAGTTTTACGTGCATTTGAGGTTGTACTGTCTCACATGTTGTAAGATCATGGTTAACTAACACAATCTCCTAGTACAGAGATACCTCCGTTCATGAATGCTTTTGTTTGCAAACAATTCGGTTTGCAAACAGAAGTGTTTGGCAAAAGTTTATTTTTATTTGCAAACTCCATATCGGGTGACAAACTCAACCATGGCCATCTTTCCCACACAAACTCAAACAGAGACATGTTTTCCAAAACTGCAGAACAAATTAAGTTCATGAATCAAGGTACCACTGTGTGGCATATGTTGCAGCGTTGTGCTTGCCCAATAATACTGCACAGTCCCAAATCTACCTTGCCCTGCTCAGGAGGCGTTGCCAAATACAAGAACAGCTGCCACCACAGATTTCCTGCTTGTTGCTCCATAAAATGCTTTCAGGGCTCTGCTCATAAAGAGCTCTCACCAGCCTCGGCTTCTTGTGCACCTAGCTGATGAACTGCCAGGCAGGATGCTCTCAGAGGTTTCAGTGTCAGAGACCTGGTCGTTCCCCGCCCCCCAGGATATGTGTCTCCCACTTGCTTTGGCTTCTTGCCTTGTGGGATTATTGACTCTACCCTCCTCCAACCCAGAGTGACAGATTCATCACCAGCTTTGACCTGGGAGTCACACCCCCCCCCAAGGGACTGTGGATCTTACTAACCTTTCCTCTTGGTGTTGGTGACCAAGTTAGGCAGCTGAAACCCTTCTTCAGTCCTGAGCAGAGCTGACATTTCCTTGTTGCTTTCCCTCTGCTGATCCTCACTGCGTTGGTGAGGACACCAGGATTATCTTCTGTTGTCTCTGAAAGCAGCTTCAGTGATTTTGGGCCTCACTTCTCTCCCCACTGCAGGAGAAGGACTTGGTATCCTGGGGCTTAGACACAAAACAAGCAGAGAATTTCCAGGTTGAGATGGAACCTTTTGAAATCTTAAAACCCTTCGGGGTGAAGCTGTCACAGAATTTCAAAGATTCTCCAGCAATACTGACTGAATGCAATGGGGAACCTTGTCTGTGTCCTGAATAAACAAAATCAATTTTAGAATGACTCCTTTTAGGTAACTGAGGAAAAAGTGGGTATGGACTAGGAACTGAGTGATTTTGAGGGGTGTCTGTTAATCGTATTGGTATGATAGTAAATGGTATGATAGTAAATTCTGCTTTTAAGATGCTGAAGTATTCATGGCTGGAGTCTAAAATATACAGAAGCTGCTTTTAAAATATTCCAACAACCCCCAAGAACGGGGGCAGAGGAAATAACGGGAACATAATGAGCAAAACAGCAATAGATGTTGAAACCCAGTATAGAGAGGTCCAATGTGCTATCCTTTTGCATGTTTTAAAAGTTCAAAAAGAAAGCCATAGAACAAATTCCCCTGGGCCCTAAGGAGAGCCTGTCCCAGGCTGGCCTGGTCTCTAGGATGCAGTGTCCCTGCACACAGCGGGGACACATCTGGACCTGAAGGTCTTTCCCACACCCGCCCAGATGCTATCAGGCCTGGAGCAGTGCATTCCACATGGTGACGGGTGACACACCTCCTGCATCTGTGACAATAGTCTCAAGTTCTGTTGCTCTAAACGGAATCCTGGCTTTTCTCTTCTTCATTGCTCTAATGAAATCAAAGAGTGAAAATCAAGGACAAAAAACTAATTAGCAAGGACATTTTCAGTGTGTGGATTGTTACCGACATGTCTGTTGACCCAGCATGTCACCGTCTGGTGGCTCTGAGGATTCTTGGGATGCTTATGGTTTGGAACTGAAAAGCTGTTCCCACATTCTGCTAATTCCTCTTTTTGGAGCCTGTTTCGGAGCTTGGCTTTTTGGAGCTTATTCTCTTTCCTGGTCATGGAGCCACCTTCTGTAACCCCTGCAGATTCCTGCCTTCATTTCTCTTGGTCCTGACCATGGTTTAACCTGTTCTCTTGGCTCTCCGTTGCTGTGACAGAATGTCTGAGACACTAGCTTATAGGAAGGAAATGTTTGTTTTGGCCCACAATTTCACATGTTTTATCCTGTGGCCAGCTGGAGATGTGTGAAGCTGCTCACCTAATGGAAGCCAGGAATTGGAAAACTGGAAGGCCCACAGTCCCCCTTCTGGGCCAAACCCCACCTCCTAAAGTTTCCAGTGTTCCCCACAGCACCATGTGCTGAGGGCCATGCTTTCACCACAGGGGCCTTTGGGAGTCAGTCCAGATCCCCACCGTGAGGATTTTGAGGCATTTGGCCCATGGATAGTGGAGGCCGCCCTACCCTCATCCCACCATGAACCCCACAGTCTTTCAAGCTGGTCCCTAAGAACCCTGTTTGTTCAACATATTTCCATCTTCTACGCACGAGGTGTTCGAGGACTGTATGCTCCTAAAGCAGGTGGCTGCCCATCCCTCGACCCCTCAGAGGCCAGATCAGCCCGGCTTCCAACAGTACCTCCCCCCGCCCCTGCCTTCCCTCTTCCTCTGCAGGTGGTCCCCGAGCCTTAGTACCCAGTGTAACAGAAGTTCCTACAGACACCTCTGCTGATCCCTCCACTCTGTCAGGCTCTCCTTCCTGCTGCTTCTGTTTTGAATGGTGAAAGGCTAAAAGCCCAGTCCACCACTGTCCCTCCACCACAGCCCTTCCTGCTTTTGCAGCTCTTGGCAGCTGACCATTGCTGCACTCTGTCATACAGAAGCCTAAGAGGGAGCCCCAGCCAGGCCTCTAAGCAGGAAAGCAAGGTGCCTCGACACTGTCCTCCTGATCATCCTCCATCCTTCTGTCCTCCTCCCCAGGCCTCTCCTTATCCATCACACCTCGTGGGCACCACCTGCTGCCAGATTTCTGTCCTTTTGTGAATCTGAGTTTGTCCTCAGACATTGTTTCTTCTTGAGCATTATGAGTGTCTGATGGAGCAGCTAACATGCGTGTCCCCACAAATGGAAATCAATATAGAATTTCATGAACAGTGAGGCAGCTGGCAGAGACAAGCATGGAAAATGGTTCCTTAGAACCCACAATAGCACAAAGCTAGTAAATACGGTTTTCTGTAAACACACACAGTTAAAATAAGTACAAAATGATCTGTTATCAAATTATCATGAACAAGAAAATGTTGGCTTCCTTACAGCAAACTGAAAAAAAAACACAAACAGCTGGGTAGAAATACAAGATCTTTCCCAGTTAAATTTCACTGTTAAATACTGCACCATGATTTAGGCTAACTCTTGCTTTAATAATTCTACTCTTCATAGAAAATGTCTTTTATGAAAGTCTAAATGTCTTAAAGCTTCCAATTTTGGCCAGCACGTGATTTTTTTTGTTCTTTGTGCATCTTCCATTGAAAATATTAATTCACCTTACTGGTCAGTTGTCATGACCTTGGAAAGAGTATGTTTTCTGCTTGTGTTCTGCTGTCTTTTGGTCCCTAAGCACTCTTGCTTGGTAAAGAACTGCTTTCTGTGCAGTCACTTTTCCATGTGCACCATGTGGCTGTGGGTGTTTTGAGGTTTTGCTTTGCTTTGCTTTGCTTTGCTTTGCTTTGGTTTTAGGTGCAAAGGATGAACCCAGGGCTTGGGCATGCTAGGCAAGCACTGGGCCACACCCCAGCACCCCACTCCCATTCATTTTAATCAGAAGGAAGGAGAGCACAGAGGCGTGCTGGCACTGTGGGAAACGCTTTCTGTAACTCTACTTTTTTCAGACAGATTAATCTCCACATGACCCTTCTCTTTTGAGAAGGGTCTGTATGACCTTTCTGTAGAAGGTGTAGAATTAATCCTTGTCAGACACAAGGGATTTTGTGTGCCTAGCACAGCTCCTCCTTCCGGGGTTTGCAGAGCATAGAGAGACAAGACAGACACATTGAAAATAGGCATCTGAGGCGCTGTGAGCCCAGTACCCAGTGAAGCAGGAAGATCAGAGGTGCTGCTGGGATTCGTAGGACGGTTATTCCCAGGAGCCCAGCTCTCCAAAGAGCTAGGTGAAGGATGCTGTCCATGGTGGGGTCCTCATGAGCTCTGCGGAGGAGATGAAGAGCTGAGAGAAGGAAAAACTAAACTGAGCTGTCTGTTTCCTGGGGCTGCCATAGCACATTACCATCCACTAGAGAAGGGGTTTACAACAATAGGAGTAGATTTTCTCACAGTTCAAGAGGCTTAATGTCTCCAGTCAAGATGTAGCGGGGTGGCTTCCGGGAGAACATGGCGGACAAATAACAGCAGCCATGGAGGCTCTCTGAGATTACCAGCTTAGAATCCAGGAGCGGTGCCTTGTGAGGAGTCCTACGCGAGGGGAGATGTACCTTGCCGACCCAGGAACAAAGTAAGCTGAGAGAAACCAACTGGAAATGCAATCCTGATGCTATAACAGGAACAGATAAAATCTCAGTGTGGAAGCTGGATCCCGCGCCATCGGGAGCCGCGATTTGAATTTCCTGCTGCCGCTACTGCATCCCAATCTGCACGGCAGGGAGAGAGGCGCACAAAAGCTCTGAGAGCTGGAATCAGCGAACCAAATGGCATTGAGAGCAGGACTGGCAGGGAGCCCTGCATCGACTTGCAGTAAGTGAGAGAAATGGGGACCCTTTCATAGACCTGGAGGCTCCAACAGGGGACATTCTGGGAATGAGCAGACTAGCCAGAACAGGGCCCTGCAGTGACTTTAGTGGCATATTCCCCTCTCAAGCGGGAGTGACAGGAGCACTTGGCCTGGTGATGCTGCAGACTAAGATCCAGTAGGCTAGCCCAAATCAGGTCCCTGCACCTGGTGGTGCACCCTAGCAGTGAAGCATTCAGTAGGTTGACCTGGAGGGGCGGGCCCAGGAGAGGCTGCCCAGGTCTGTGTCTCCCTAGTACACTGCAGTGGGCGGGAACACCTAGACGGCAGATTCAAACAAACTGTAACAGACAAAGAGGAAAAAAAAAAACTGGGCCTCCTACATACGCTTGTATGGAAGGAACAAAAAGTATGGGAAGAGGGAGCAACAAGAAAGGGTCCTCAGTCCCCAATCCTGAGAACACTGATGCAGGAAAGGTAAATGCAAAAGAGAATGAAGACAGAAAACATGCAATATCAGACACGGCACCTATAGACATAAAGTGGTATCTCTGGAGCCTCATAGATGAGCTCAAAAATGAAGTATTTGATGAAATAAAGCAAGAAATAAGTAGAATAGTTAGAGAAATGCTGAGCACCGCCCAAGAAAAAACAGATGGTGGAATGGAAGAACAGAAAAAAAGGGGAGAATTGTTTGATGGAGAAAATAGAGAAAACATAGAATACGTGAAGCAGGTTCACAGAGATTACCAGGAAATTAAAAACTCTATTGAAAGCTGGCATAACAGCTTGAAAGAAACTAAGGATAGATTATCAGAACTGGAGGACAGATTTGTAAGGTGGGAGCATGAAATGAAAAACTTCTTAAAAATAACAAGAAAACAAACAGCAATAATACAAAGACTAGAAGATGACAAGAGGATCTATAACTTAAGAATTAAGAACATAAAAGAAAAAGTAGGGACTCAAACAAATGAACTACAAAAGCTATTCACAGAAATAATCCAGGAGAATTTCCCTAGTTTAGCAAAAGGTAAAGATACTCAGATGTATGAGGCATACAGGACCCCAGCCACCTACAACCCAAACAGAGCTACACCCAGGCATATAATAATCAAAATTCCAGAAATCCAATATAAGAACAGAATATTAAAAGCCGTCAAAGACAAGAAACAGATCACTTACAAGGGAACACCCATCAGAATTACAGCAGACTTCTCGGCACAAACCATCAAATCACGAAGAGCGTGGGGCGCAATAATTCAAGCTTTGAAAGATAATAACCTCCAGCCAAGATTGATATATCCTGCACAACTGTCCCTAGAAATTGATGGAAAAACAAGGTGCTTCCAGGATAAAGAGGAACTAGGGGAATTTGCAACCACCAGTTCAACTCTACAGAGATTGCTGCAGGATATTCTAAAAACGAAAAATACCAAGATTCCAGAAACAGTGGCAGAGGGCCCACAATGAATGGAGCAGAAAGCGAAATGAAGAGGAAAAACTGACAACTAGTGACAGAAAAAAAGCTCAGCAGAAATGAGGCATAGAAGGTTGGATGGTAGGAACAGCCATTTTGGAGAAAACAATATATCATAATAAGTAGTGCTGATTTTAAATCCTCTTGTTTTGAAGTCCCATCAAGCTTTTGTTCTTCTGTCTCCATCAGTTTTAACGTGTTGTATCTTATTGGATTTCATTATATGTGATAATATAAACAAAAACTTTTATAGACAAGGAGATTATACAGAAACCATTGTTCATTTTCTGTTAGTTGATTCTAAATACCTTGTAATACTGTCATTCTCTTGAATGGTTTTACATTGTCTTGATATATTTGATGCTACAGTATACGAAGTTATACCCAAAGATTTTAAGGGAAGAGACACTATGGTAACTACTATTGTATCGAGATTATCTTGTGGTGAAACACTATTTTGCTTAAATGGCTGTGTTTTGACCTGCACTGTTTTGTTGTTATGCCCTCTTTTTTATCTCAATCTCCTTTTTATTATCTACTTTTTCATTTTTATCCTTTTAATTAAGGGAAAAATAAATAAATAATAGCAGGATATATTATAGTAACCTACTTTGCTTTCCTATTAACTTGATTTGAGACTCTGTATTGCTCTCACCATCTTGTTTTGACTGATTTTCCTCTATTCTGTTATGCTAGATATTACCAAGTTTAAAAGTCTAGGCAACTATGAAGACAATAAGATCCATTGTGACACCCATTCTGGTTGACTATTATCTTCTTTTAAAGTCCTGTAATGTCTCCAATGTTTTGGTTTTATTCTTTAGTGTTTTGTTCAATTTTATTATAACTGATGATATAGGCAATTCTTCTTAAGATAACAAGAGGCATTATGGTAACCATTGTTGATCACCTTGTATTTTGTTTTTACATTATATATTATGTCCATCCTTTTGTTTTGACTGACCCTGTCCTGGTATGTCACATTTGGTTTTACTTTCTTCAAAAAAAAAAAGTATTAAGAACTGTGGGAGTAATAAAACCCAAAATGTGTAATTGTCATTGTACAAAAGAAAGGAAAAGAAAGTTCTCTAAAAGATATAACTGCATATATATTTAAGTGTATAAGATAGATAACCATATTACTGAGTTTTGTTGGATTATTGAACAAAACTGTTTGCAGTCTCACTGTTTGAAAGTCCCCTCTATATGCTTTAATTTTGTAACTTCAACAACTATTTGTAAGATGACAATATGTAATTAACTAGTGATTTCCTACTGTTTGTTTTTTCTGAAATTCTGTTTAACTTGTACCCTTTTTCTGTTTTTTTTTCTTTTTTCTCCTTAAATTAAAAAAAAAAAAAAAAAGATGTAGCGGGGCTTGCTCCTGCTGGAAGGCTCCGCAGAAGAATCTTAGTTTCTCTCCTGCCCTTCCCATGGTTGCCTGCACTCCCAAGCTTGTGGATATGTACTGCCGTCTCTGCCTCTTCTTCCATGGGCTTTATCCTTCCATGTGCCTTGCATATCTCCTTATAAGGACAACTGTCACTAGACTCAGGGTCCAACCTCATCCAGTATGACTTCATCATAACTAATAACATCTGCAAAGATCCTGTTTCCAAATAAGCTAATATTCTGAAATTCTGGACAGGCAAGGATTTGGGGGACCATGCTTGCCAACCTCCTGCAGTGGGTGTTCAGAAAATAGCTGGCTGTGAGCAGATAGTTTGATAGGGGACAGTAGCAGGCAAGGGTCATCCTGAAAAAGGCTTAGTGTTGGGTGGGCGGGTGAAGAGGTAGTGAAAGCTACCACCACGAGGGAGTCATCATCATGTGCCAAGCACTCTTCAGGTACCGGGTTCTTATTAGTCCATCCTAGACAGAAAAATCAAGGCACAGAGAGACTCAATGAAATGTCCCTAGCCAGCAGGAAGTGTAGCCAGGATGTGGATGAAGGCATTTGATTGGGAATCTGTGTTCTTAACTCACCCGCTATAAACTCCCCAGACCTTGCCTTCTAGGCATCTCTGTTTAGAACAGGAGAAGCGGGGTTCCGTAAGGCAAGCAGAGGAAGCAGCTGTGTTAATTGTTCTCCCTTCCAGGAAAGCAAAAGAGCTTCTTAGATTGGTGTCAGTATCCAATCCTTAAAGTGAAGTTCTGTGTTGTTACTTTATCGCTCTATGCTCTCCACAAGCTATGATTTCTTTCATAGTGTCAGAAATGGAAAGGTGTTTGTTTTAAACTCTGGGAACTTTCAAGAATGGGGTTGTTTGTGAGGGATTCCTCATGTCCTCCACACCGTTCACTTTCCCCGCTGCAGCCAAGATGAAGGAGCAGCACTGGCAGTGCCTGTTCAGCCCAGTCCCTTCCCACGGCCTTTCAATCAGGACAGCTGAGCATCCGTGTTTGCCCACAGACACAGGGCTACCTGGGATACATGAGTTCCCAGTTTTAAAGCCCAGATAGTTTGGGTAAATGGGAACAAGTTGGCCACCCTACTCATGGCCCCTGTTATTATGTAAGTCTGTCTCCGAGCTCCGCAGTCCCCACGGGGGAGAGCAGAATGCCCATGTACATGTTCCAAGTTCCATGTGATGGCGCCTCCTGCTGTAGGAAGGTGGGAAGACCTCTAGAAGAAGGCACCATGCGGTAGGAGTCGGGGTCATGGAGGAACTATTTAGTGTGGTGCTTTTGTTTTTACAGGAGAAGAGGATGAGGAGGAGCCTGAGATGCCTGTCGGGCCCCGTCCGCGGCCACTCTCTGAGCTGCACCTTAAGGAAAAAGCCGTGCCCATGCCAGAAGCCAGCGCATTCTTCATCTTCAGCCCTAACAACAGGTGTGTGCAGGGTGGGGAAGGCGGCCCAGCTTCCTCTGTGACATGAGCCCAGCAGGCACTTGCCTTGTACTTGAACTTCTGGGAAGAGCCCAGGACGCTCTTTCCACAAGTTGTGAAAAATAGATGCTGAGTGAGAGGGAAAGAGCCATGGATTCTGAGTCGAATGGTCTGCATTTATTTTTCCCTCTAGGCTTTGAAATGTGTAACTGCTCTATTTGATGGTTAGCCTTGATAATTTGCGAAGTCTGTTTTTAACTCAACAAAACGTAAAGCTAAACATAGCTCAGTTTTCCTCCTGTACAAAAGAAAGACCTTACACCATGCAAAGCTCTCTCAGTAGCTCCCAGCTCACAGGCTGTTGTCCATCAGGATTTTGGCACTGAGCTTTATTTTTAACGAGTTAGACACTATCACTGTCACTATTGTAATGTGGATTTAGCGTTTTGGACTTACATACTGCTTATGGTGTTATTTGTTGACCGTTTTTTGTTTTTGTTTTCTTGTGAGGAGTTTGATTGTTGTCATTTCGCAGGACTGAGGGTAAAACCCAGGGCCACAGTGTACTAAGCACTTCCTATCACCTAGCTGTACCCCAACTCTCATTGACCTTTTTAAAAATACATAAATAAAGCCAATTATAGGGTGCTTTAGTTTATCAGCTTTATCTCATTTGATACCCAAAGGAGTGAGGCGAATTATTTTTCTCATTTTACAAATGAAAAAACTGAGTCCTCTAGATATGCGTATAGGTCTCCTAACAGCCTGATGCCCTTTCTACTTAATCTTGTTTTCTATTTCTTTTTTAATAGTGCATATTAACTTTACAGACTATTGGGTCTCATTGTGGATTTTTATATATGTGAATAACATTTTAAGTAAATCCACCCCCCCTTGCTGCCTTTGTCTTGTGAAATAATGGTCTCCCTGCGACTGTCTTGTCATTGAGCATTTTTAGTACATCTCTACCCTTTTGCAAACATTTTCTTTCCTTCCAGAGGACAGTCTTTAGAAGTCCCCTTAGTCCCTTCATGCCAAACTCACTTGGGCTACTTGTATGTAATAACTGAGTTTCTTATTCTTGAATGATAATTTTGCTGTGGACATGACTTCAGACTGACAGCTTTTGCCCTTCGGTTCATGAAAGATGCCATCCCACCGTAAAGTCAGCTGGCATTCCAGTCACCACTCTGTGAGGGACCTGCTGGCATCCCAGCCACCTCTCATCTCTGAATTACCTGCCCATCACTTCAAGCTGCCATCAGCATCTTCTGTGACTTTCGATGCTGTGCAGATTCACTACCATGTGGCTGCCGTGGATTTAGTTTACGTGTCTTGTGCATCATAATGTGACGTTCCTAGACTTACGGGTTTATTTTTCTTCCTGCCTTGATCATTTGCAGCCATTATCCCTAAAGATTGCCTTTCCTTAATTCTCTGTTCCTTCTTTGTGCCACACCAACTAGATATGCTGGACTTTCTTCTGTCCTCCTTATCTTTTTTTTATTTATTTTATTTTTCTTAGCACTTGTTTGCAGTATATGGGATCCTATTCTGTGTCTGGAGTTGGTGCATGTACATAACACGTTTTAATCCCTTTTTTCATCCCCTTTCCTTTCCTTCCCTTCCCTCTCCCTTCATCTCTTGAGCCCCTTAGCATTTGAGGAAGACCCACCTTTCTACTTTCCATTATCTGTCTTTTATTTTGCTCTTTATTTATACTTCAGGTTTCTCATATAAGAGAAACTATGCAATATTTAATCTTGTGTGTCCAACTTATTTCACCCAACATGATGGTCTCAATGTGCATCCCTTTTCCTACAAATGACTCAAGTTTAATCTTGCTTTATGGCAAAGTAATACTCCATTGTATGTAAATACCACATTCTCTGTATCCGTTCACCTGTTGATGGACAGGTAGGTTGTTTCTTAGATTAGCTGTTATGAACTGTGCTGCTATAAACGTTGGTATGCTTGTATCATTATAATATGATTCCTTTAACTCTTTTGAGAAAATACCTAGAAAAGGAATAGCTGGGTTGAATGGAATTTCTTGTTATAGTTTTTTTTAAGAGAATGAAACCAAACAAAATAAAACCAATCAAAACAAAACAGTGACAGTGATACAGGACTTCAAAACAAAACAGGATAACTGGAAATCAGCAATGGCTACCATAATGCCTCTTGTTATCTTCAAAATTACTGCCTATACATCAGACATAATAAACTCAAGCAAAACAGAACAGAGTGAAATAACCAGGCATAGTGGTGCATGCCTGTAATCCCAGCACTTGGGAGGCTGAGGCAGGAGGATTGTTGCAAGCTCCAGACCAGCCTTGGCTACAAAGTGAGCTCAAGGCCAGCCTGAACTCCATAGTGAGATCCTGTCTCAAAAAAGACATTAAAAAAAGAACAGAATGAAACCAATCAAAACAGAGGATTGAATAAAACAAAACAATAAAACAGAACAAAACAAAAGAATGAGAACAATATTGAATTTCAAAGACAAGACAGAATGAAATCTCCCATATTTGCTACATTGCATATTGTTATCCTCTCAGTAGAGGTGTAGACTACCAGCTCTAGGCCTGCAAAATCAATCAAACAATACAAGCATTAAGTTGGTTTTTAACTCAATTGCTAACTACTCACTCTGCATTCCTCAGAATCAGCCAATTGCTTGGGGGTGAGAGGTTGTTCTTGTCTCCCAGCCCACACTGGTTAGCTCATGCGAAGGGCATAATGACTTCTTGTTTCTCTTCCCTGGATTCACATGGCTTCTGTTGGCTCACAGGAAGAGTGAATTGGCTTAATGTTTCTCCTCCCGAGACCCATGGCCTCCACCGGCTCATGGGAAGGGCAAACTGGCTTCTTGTTTCTCTTCCTAAGACTCATGTAGCTTCTTCTGGGTCATAGGAAAGACGGGATTGACTTATTTCTCCTCTTGGGATCTGCATGGTTTCCACTGACTCACTGGAAGGGTGAATTGGTTTCTTATTCCACTTCCAGGGACCTGCATGGCTTCCACTGGCTCCTGGGAAGGATGAGTTGGCTTCTTATTTCTCCTCCCAGTACCCTCATGAATTCTGCCAGCTAACTGGAAGGGCATATTGTGTGTTTCACTTTTTTGAGGAATCTCCATACTATGATTTTCATAGTGGTTATACGAGTTTACATTCTTATCAATAATGTACAAGGATTCCCTTTTCCCCAGCAGTTGTTATTATTTGATGTCTTGATGATGGCCATTCTTTCTGGGATAAGATTGTTCTTCCTGTCTCCTAAAGCTTTTTATATATCTTTCATATCTTTTTTTTTTTAATCGGTACCAGGGATCGAACTCACGACTGCCTGCTTGCAGGGCAGGTGCTTATGCCGCTGAGCTAAATCCCCAGCCCCTATCTTTCATATCTTACATATCTCTCTAAGTGTTCTGAGTGATGTGTCTTCCAGTTGACTAATACTCTTTTTAACTTTATCTACATTACTAAATTCCAATCAGTTCCATTTGTTTAACTGTTCAGATCAATCTGTCTATCTGATGGTTTCTCTGGATTTAGCATCTTTGTGATTGATTCCTTTATTTCAAACATAGTTATCCGATGTTCTATATCTGATATGCACAGTTCTTCTTCACTGTGAGGTGTGAAACCAAGTTGTACCCCTGAAACTGATATGGGAGCAAATCACCTAGCCAGAGTGCTGGCTTCTCTGGCCTCAGCATTCACATCTTCAGATATTTAATTGTTCCTGATGCACAAAATTATCCAGTAGATCTTATAAAATGAATTTTTTTCCAATGATGGGGAAAACAAATTTCCAAACAAAATCCAGTTGTTTATTTCATAGGTATGTTTGAAAATTTGAAGATTTCTGATTGTCTCAGATGTAGCCTTCCAAAATATCAGAAGTTACAGTCTGTGAATGTCTTTAGGACTGAGTCCCCTAGAAATGGCATCATGAGGCAGAGCAGGATGGCTGTCATTACCCACTAACAGACAGGTGTGAGGCTGAGAAGACCACTCTCCGCGCCACACAGGTCATTACAGCCTGACAGAAGGAGCCAAGGGGATTGTTCTGACTCACGGAGCCACACCCCCTTCCTGACACATCCTTTGCTTCTCTCCTCCATATGCAGGTTTCGCCTGCAGTGCCACCGCATTGTCAATGACACGATCTTCACCAACCTGATCCTCTTCTTCATTCTGCTCAGCAGCATTTCTCTGGCCGCAGAGGACCCCGTACAACACACCTCCTTCAGGAACCATGTGTGTACCCCTTCTGCTGTCTGTACCCCCTCTTCCCAGGACTGTGACTGGCCCCCCCGGCTTCTGTTGCTGACTCCTTTGATCAGTCAGGAGCCCAGTTCCCAATCTCACAAGCAGATGCACCATAAATATTTCTTTAAAAAATAGGGCTTTTATAGAAACCCACCTTGCGACCATAAGTAAGTAACAGAGCATGTACCCCAACACCAGTAGCTGGTTCAATCATTGGCAAACATCAGGCATGTCATTGCCTGTGGATGTTCCCCAGGAAGCTCTTGTTTCCTGTGGCCTTAGAGAAGAGTGGCCAGGGCTTTCTCCTTGCTCCACCATGCTCTGACCAGAGGGAAAGCATCTGCCAAAAGGTGCCAGTGATAAGACTGACCTTTATGAAAGAGAGCCTCAGTTATCTCCAGTGCCTAAACCTAAATTTAGAGAGCCGCTCAAGGCTCTGGTGAACAGCATAAGAGTCTAGAATAAAAACTACATCTCAAGACTTCAGAACTTTATGAAATACCAGGAGATGGGCGTAAAGAAAGCAGCCCTTGCTCTGGAACCACACTAATGCCCAGGAGTCAAAATGGTCCAGGTTATCTTACTTAGGGTAGCAGATATTGGCCAAGCTCTGATCCATTCCTTGGGCTTTAATAAAGCATGAAACTATGTAGCCTGTCCTTGGCCTGAGCAAACCTAGAGGACACTCCTTCCCAGACCCCAAAGAATAAGACATCAGCACAGGAAGCTGGTAAGCTCAGTCCCACCAATATGAGTGAAGCATTTTGAATCTCTTGCAAAAGAAACAAGCCCCACTCTCTGCCCTTTAACAAATAAAACTTGTCTGGTATGGGTTTGAAGTAAATTGGGTTAATAAGAAACATGTACAACCAGACAGTACCTAGACCCAGAACCAGCTGGGCTCCCCCCACCTGTCTAGGGGCCCCATCTAGAGTTGCTGATCTGGCTGAGCCAGCTCTGTGGCAGGATCCAGTGCTGAGTACACACTCTGAGTCCTTTCCACCCATCTCCACATGGAGAGGCCCCAGCGCACACCTTGGTTTGAACTGAGGTTCCTTTTCTGGTGAACATCCACTGACCCATCTTCTCATCCTGCTTTCCTCCCTTCCCCACCCCTCCCCGCCCTGTTTCTGTTTGTTTTGCAGATTCTGTTTTATTTTGATATTGTTTTTACTACCATTTTCACCATTGAAATTGCTCTGAAGGTAAAGCGCCGCCCCCTCCTTTCTTCTTCCCTGCTGTCCTGCTCTCTGGCTCTCTGCTGCTGTCGGCTGCTAACACACGTGCTGCTGGGGTGTGGGTCACTCTCTGAGCCACTAACCCAGTTTTGCTTGTTTTTCAGATCCTAGGCAACGCAGACTATGTCTTCACTAGTATCTTTACCTTAGAGATTATCCTTAAGGTAATGCACCCTCCATGCATCCTCTGTCCCTTGCCTTGTCTAGCTCTGCTTTGGCCACTGACTCCTTTCTTTCTTCTGTTTCCTTCACTCTCTGTTCCTTTGACTCTCAAGCCTAAATTTGGAGAAATCAGTGCCCCTCGATTTGCGCCAGCATTTGCCCTGGGCTCAGAGGCCAGAAGCCTACCCCACTGCGTCCCTTCCCCTCTGACCACCACTAGGCAGTCGCTTAACCTGCAAGAGCCACACTGTGACTGTCACTGTTGGTGCTCTTCCCTCACAGATTGGGTACTGTGGTCACACACATGTGCACACACACACGCGCGTGCGCGCGTTATCTCTAATGAGTTGGTGACTGATTCCTACTTAGAATTCTCCCTCCCCACCAAAAAAGAATTCTCCCTTACTCCTACTGCCCAGAAGAAATGTCACACAAACTCCAGACATGGAAACATGTTGGGGCCTGAAAGAACCACTTTGGCTGTTCTCTCGGGCTGCCCATCATCAGTAACCCTCAGTACTTGTGGCAGACATTGGGGCTACCCTGGAGCTGGGGCCACGGGTCAGTAGGGTGGGCCTGGTGCATGGCTGGGAGCCAGCCTCCCTACTGAGGCCTTTCAGCAAACTTAGAGATCACCTCCTGGCCCTGCAGAAAAGCTGTGTTGCAGTGCTCTTGTCCTGAGCATGGGAAAGAAGAATTACCCTGGGAGTTAACAGCAGAGAAACAGCGCTGTAAAGAACTTGAGCGCTGGCCCCAGCTCTGACCACTGCTGGCCAAGCTCAGTTCTGTGGAGATGCTCTGACCTACCTGTGCTCAAAAACAGAGCCGATGTCCAAACAACACTGGGCAAGAAAGCTTGTTTCTCAGTTTTTCCCATATATTTCTGAGCCTCTAAGCCAATGAATCACCCAGCTTGTGTACCTGGGCTATAGGACCTGATTCTCAGCCCTTGGGTAAGATAAGCTTGTCTCTGAAATGTGACCAGGTTTACCAGAAGAGAGAGATCATCGGGTCTGAGCACAGGCTGCAGCTCAAGCATCTTCTTCCAGGGACACTTGCCTGAAACAGCTCCTCCCAAAGAGCTCAGATTCCTTCTCACTCCATCACTGAGGGTGACAAAGCTGATATTATCCACTGCTGATTGCAGACCCTTCCTTTCCTCGTGAAGCTGCTGTGTCACAGCACGGCCTTTTAATGGACATGACATTTCCCTCACACGGGCTTACAATCCAATCTGAGTGAGGCAGTTCAGGTGCCTTCCATGACATCCTTGTCTCCGGACATCCAGCTGTCCGAGCTTCTGTCTGTCACTGGCTCCAGCCCAGCAGGGCTGTTGCTCAGATTTTTCTTTTCTGCACAGCGATAAATGATCTGGCCATGTCCCGGTTTAGGGGGATTGGGGGGAGCACAAATCATGTGACCGCATTAAGATGCACTGCTAGGAACCCCTTTTCCATGGCAAGTGGCTTTTTTGCTAGACTCCAGATTCACAGATACACAGAAAGATCTTCCCCCGGACCAGAAAAGCTCTGAGGCCCCACTTGAAGGACCCTCTTCAGAGCCCTGTGGCTTTCTATGATGTCACCTCTCCTTCAGGACATCCAGCAGCAAAAGTCAAAGTCTCTCTGCAAATGCGGTCACTGCGAGGCCCTTCCCTCCCCTTCCCCTCTTCCTCTTCTGGTCTCTCTGATGCTCACTGTGCTTCTGAATGTCCACTCCATGCCAGTGCACGTCCTGCACTTCTTCTCACTGGGTCTCTCTCCTTTATGTGAAGCCCTGCATTGTGCTACAGCACAGTGCTGGCCGCCTACAAGGCTCGCTTACTGGAAGGAACCACTGACGGGCCTGAGGCAGGCTGGCCTTAGAAGGGAAAGGCGTGTGGATGCACCAGCTAGCCAGAAATGCAGAAGACTGTCACGTAGGAGAGAGGGAAAGTCAAGTCAGGACTAACACATGGAAATGCCAAGAGCAACAACACATTAATAACTAGGAGGGTTGCCTCACAAAGTGGTGCTTGCTGGTGACTTCCAGCTCAGGTGTAGTGAGCCCATGCTCTGTCCCCTTTTTCTCCTCAAGACGGAAAGAGCCAACACTGGCCATTCCTTGGTGACACCTTAGAACTTTCAGGAAGCAGGGATCACATGGGTGGCAATCAGCAAACAGGAAGAGAAAGCACACTGCACTGGCTGTCTGAACTTGACCTTTTCAGCGTCCTGAATACCACAGATGGCTTTTGTATAAATGCCCCTCTCCCAAGCATACACTTGCCTTTTGTCTCATAGCCACGCTTCCTTTGGCTCTGCCTGGGTGCATGCCCCTCACTTCACACACACACACACACACACACACACACACACACACACACACACCTTTCTGAAGGGCTGGTCTCCTGGGTTCCCTGACAAAATAGAACCCTGAACTCAAAGGACAGTAGCTGGCCTTCTGAGTCCCACTGCCCAGTTGTCTACTCCCTCACATAGAGGGCTCTGCTAGAGCTTAGTAGCAGCCTCAGAATGTCCAAGCAAGGAGGGTCCAGACCCCAGCACCTTCTCTAAGACTAACAGCCTGGATCTGGGGAGGGTGCTCAGGCTTCACTGGATACAGGAACTCTGATGAATGTGAGCTGCAGGAGCAACCCTAGCCCAGTCTCTGGGGTCCTGAGTTTTCCTGAGACACAGGACAGTGAGTCTTGCAGGTGGTGAGCCTTTGGGAGAAATCTGCAGCCAAATTCCACTGCAACCCTTTATGTAATCTCCTCACTTCTGAAAACTGTTGCAAACCACAGGTGCCTGAGTCCCCTGTGGTCTCCTGCTGCAGGAGATAAATGGAAAGAATTAGGTTGCAAGAGCTATTTTTGCCAGTTTCCTCCTGTGTTTGGTTTTGAATTGCTCTTCGGACTCACCACCCTGGACATGCTCTGATTCCAAAGAGATAAACAGGACCTCAGATGACCAGCAACAGCTCTCATCCTTAGCCATCAACTCCAAGTTTTTCCCTTCAGCTGACACTGCATGGCCCCTGGCCTTTTAGAGCCTTCACCGGGCCCTGAACTCAAGACAGCAGCAGCAGACAGGACGTGGGTTGAGTGCCCACAGCACTCAACTTTCTACAAGCCCAAGAAGGGAATCATAGTCAAGGCTTACAGCGATAATCATCGTCCTGTGTGTTCTCATTTTGAAAATTTTCAGAGGGCTCTTGTTTACCCAGATGAGCCTCACAGAGGCAGAGAGTAATATCTCCCTTTTGTACATGAGGAAGCCCCACTTCTCTCATAGAAGAAGCCAGAACTCAAATCCAAGCTACCAGACAAGTGGCACTTCCCTGGAGCTCACTGTCTGCAAGAGAGGGTTCTAAGTGTTTCCTATATAACTGATGCTTACAGCCTTAGAGAGAAAGTATCATCATTATGCTTATCTTTCAGACAATAAAAATGAAGCACAGAAAAGTTAAATATCTTACCGGAAGCCACACAAATAAAATACTATAGGGCTGGGGATTCAAACCCAGGTGGTCTGGCAGCACCACTGTGCCCTTCACCCCTGTACCACAGCCACCCTGGAACACATAGCGAGACCACTTCCTTCAAGGGTCCTGGGTATAATCCAGAAACAAGACAGTCAAACCAAGCCGAGAACATTTGATACACATCCAGCACTCTTTGAGGCCGAGGATGGAGTTATGCTAAGTGCCAGCTGTTGGCAGAACTTCTCACTGGTCACTAAGGTGACCATCTGCTCCACTTTGCCTCAGACAGGGATTCTTGGGAAGCAGAACTTCCCAGGAATTAAGACAATTAAGTCCTGGACAGCCCAGGATACAGGTAGTAGATTACCCTATTGGGTGTTCTTTCTGTCACCCCAGATCCCTAGGTTTCCAGCTGGCCCTGTGAAATTTAGAGGAATGGAAGCAACCAGGGAGCTGTGTGTTGAAGGGAAATCTGGCCTGGATAGAATCAGCAAAGGGTACAAGAGGGCTGTAGCATGTGGTGAGGAACTGTAAAAATCAAAGCACAGAGGGCTCACTTGAAAGGGCTTGAATATAGGATTGAGGAGTTTGGCGTGGTTGATGTGGGAGCCACTTACACACCTAAGCTGGGGGGTTTCTTCTGCAGCTGAGCCAGTGTTTGCAGAACCCTTTTCTGGACACTATGTCTGCTTACTTGGTCCTTCCTTTTCCCTGTGGTGGATCTCAGGACCTGCCCAAAGGAAGCTGTGGGAGGAAAGGGTAGTGGGAGGCGAGGGGTCTTGGGAGCTTTTGGTTTTCTCTTCTCACATTTCTCCGTGCCTCCCTGCAGATGACAGCTTATGGGGCTTTTCTACACAAGGGCTCTTTCTGCCGGAATTACTTCAACATCTTGGACCTACTGGTGGTCAGCGTGTCCCTCATCTCCTTTGGCATCCAGTGAGTAGGGCTCCCTGAGCCCAAAAAGGGGACATGCAGTTAGGAATGGGTGTCAAAGATGACAAGCAAAGTTTGAGGGATGCCTGGAGGGCCATCAGTGTGACTAGTGGGCGTGGGGACTCACACCTGAAACCCTAGCACTCTGGAGGCTGAGAAAGGATTGCTGTGAATTTGAGGCCAGTCAGAACTGTATAGCAAGACCCTATACAGGTCTCGAGAGAGAGCGAGAGAGCACGAGGGGGGGGCTTGGAGGTTGTACAGCAAGGCAGCTGTGATTTTTGCATCCATTTCCTTAGTGGTAGGATAGGGCATGCTGATCCACAGGAATATGTACAAATATTGAATTCTGCCATGGCAGATAGGGCCAGGTGCTGGGGCTTTGACTGCCCTTTGGCTGCCAAGAGCCTGCCATTGCTGTGGTCTTCCCTGACCTTCTGGTCCATCTTCCCACCCTTTCTGTCACCTGTGTCTTCACTCAGAGTGTGCCCATGCGCACCCATGAGTGTGTGTGTGTGTGTGTGTATGTGTGTGTGTGTGTGTGTGTGTGTGTGTATTGGAGAGAGAAGAATTACTGATTCTTAGTCCTGACTGCACAGAGAGGCTACTTAGGTAGCCTTTAAAAATGACATTTGAGCCAATAGCAGCGGTACATACCTGTAATTCTGCACACTGGGAGCCTGAAGGAAAAGGATTTAAATCTGAACACAGCCTGGGCTGAGGATTTAGCTCAGCGGCATAAGCACCTGCCTTGCAAGCACACCATTGTGAGTTCAATCCCCAGCACCAGTTAAAAAAAAAAAAAAAACCCTACCAAAAATAATAATAAAAGAACATGACTCTAAAAGAAAAAAAATCCTACAATGCAGATGTTCCTCTGGACACCAACGGTTAAATTATGGCAATATGTGAAGGAAAACCTAAATCTGAACACAGCCTGAGAAGTCCAGTGAATTAGTGAGACTTTGTCTCAAAATTTCAAAAGGACACGGGAAGTTGGGGATGCAGCTCAGTGCAAAGGCCCTGGGTTCAGTCACTAATACCACATACACAAAAAAGACATTTGCCTGAATCCCACCCCCAGAGGGTTTGTTCTGAGCTTTAGGAGTCTCAAAGCTCCCCAAGAAAGTCCCTTCCACAGTTAAGGCTGCACACCTCCATCAGGCTTGTGAAGGATCTGACTGCGAGTTTCTGCGCGCCCTAACCGCCAGGCACGTTAAACCTGCACTTCAGCTTTCAAAGCGCTTCATCTAAGCAGCCTTCCGTGGTCCTCAGAAAAAAGAAAAAATATATATAATGTAGCAGGTCAATGCCATTATCATCAATCTATAGATTGGAAATTTGAAGTTCAGGCCATGAAGAGACTCACTCAAGTTCAAATCAGTGGCAGAGAAAACCATAAGTCCCCAGGCCTTGGGTCCTCCTCAAGGCTGTTTGATGGTCAGACTCCAGGGTGAGATAGGAGCCCTGAGAGTGAGACCTTTTCTGTGACATCAATTCTATTTCCCAAGATTTTTTCTGCCTAGGCACCTAAATCACTATATCACCATGGACCAAAACTCCCTTCTTTTAGTCTTTTTTTGCCCCATGTGACCTTTAAATCCCTTCTGCTGTGAATTAGTGTGTGCTGACTCCCTCCCAGAGATTCTCAGGGAAGAAATGTAGTGACTGAGGGATGTCCTTTGAACCCCTGGGAATAAAAGATGCATGAGCCAGGGAAGTCAGACCTTTTACCAGCTCCCTCCGATGCTCTCCATCCTGACCCACGACTAATAAAACCAGCCTTTGCTGATGGTTCAGGCTGCAAGACCAGTGGGAGGCCTCCTCTTGGAATTCTGCAGAGGAAGCCCAGCCAGCCAGCCTGTGAGGGTGGGAATGGGCTTCTGAGTTGCTTACCAGCCTGGTGGTATCATTAAGCTCCAGCTGGGTAGGATTGTCAACTAGAAACCATCCAGGAATCTTGCCAAAGGGGATTTGTGGGAAACCTTTGCCACCCTGCTTCCAGGGCAGTAGCTGGAAATCCCCAGATGTTCTGGTTTGGCTGTGGCATCAGCTCTGTGAGGCTATTCTTTCTAGGAGTGCGGAACATGCTATGAACTGGAGTGGGACTGTCTTACACATCTAATGGACATCTGCCTGGAATCTGTATTTGAAGAGCACCACCCAAAAATCCCTTCCTCACACCCACAGTCTCCAGCCACAACACCTAAAGTTGCCCTATTAATGTGGCATTTCTTCAAGTACAGTGATGTCTTCAGTGGCATGATAATAAGGGTACCATTTATTCCATTCTTAACATGTGCCCAGCACATGCCTGCTACATAAAATGCACATAAAATTCCCTTATAATTCCTGCAGTGACCTCAGTTGCTAACTACCGCCCCATTTTACAGATAAAGAAACTAGAGCCCTGAAAAGTCAGGAAATGTATCCTAGGTGACTTGGCTGGCAGGTGGTAGCCAGGAGGTCTGAATGCCAGCAGACCTTACTCTCATCTTCTCTGACACCTGGATGTCCCCAAGTAGCACATCATATTGCTCATGACTCACGCGGAATTGGTTTTCTCAATATACTCTTCAAAAGAAAAGTCTTGGAGTGGCAGGAAAACTCCAAGTTCTTAGGGGTGAGATTAGGAGTAAAGAACAGTCTCCTGCATGGTGGCAGCCATTGCTGATCTTCTATCATCTTGTTGTGAAGGCCAGTAATGCTTTTATTCTTTGTTTTAATTGGTTTTAGTCTGTTTTGTATTATTTAATTTCAGAGAACAAGAGACACTATGGCAGCCATTCTTGATTTTCCTGTTGCCTGGTTTTGAAGGCCCGTAATGCCGTCATTCTTTTGTTTTGATTGGTTTCATGCTATCTTGCTTGTTTGAATTCATTGTGTGCGAAAGTATGGGTAGCTATTTTGAAGAAAACAGGAGACATTATGGTAGCCACTGCTTGTCTCCTGTTGTCTTATTTTGAAATCCTATGTTGCTTACATAGTTTTGTTCTGATCTGCGTTGTTCTGTGTTGTTGATTGTTGTAGTTGTTGTTTGAGCCTCTTAAAAAACAAAAACAAAAAAACCAGTCTCCCAGGTAGGGATTTAGCTTGCTGCACCAGCACCTGCATGACAAGTGCAAGGTCAAGAGTTCCTGGTACCAAAAAAAAAAGTCTCCCCCCAAATCTCCCAGACAGACCCTTTTCTTGGGTTTGCCTGGCGTTGACTATCAGGACATCATCTCAGCGCATCATTCCCTAGGGTGCCAGGAGCGGGGACATCCAACCCCACCCTGTTTCTCCTCAGGTCCAGTGCAATCAATGTGGTGAAGATCTTGCGAGTGCTGCGCGTCCTCCGGCCCCTGAGGGCCATCAACAGGGCTAAAGGGCTAAAGGTGAGATGAGTGCTTCACCCCAGCATGTGTCCATCAGCCTGTGGGTCTCATGTGAGAGGTAGGCCATGGTCAGGCCAGCACCCGCCATGCAGAAGCCCAGACCATAGTTTCACTTCAAGTTTTGCTTCCATGACAAACAGAACAGAGACCACCACTCAGAACCCCAGTTCTGGAGCTAACATTTGCAAAGTGGGGACCCTCTACCCCACTACTCAAACCAGGACTCTAGGCACCAAAGCAATTCCTCTGTGCCTGTTGCCATCAAATGGGAAGTTGGTAGGACCTGTGCCCACACAAATCCTTGAGAGTCCCAAAGGGACCTGGCATTCTATTGGGTCCATTCACTCACTGTGTGTCTCTGGGAAAGTTGCTTGGCCTCTGGGAGCCTGGTTCCCCCTGCCTGTAGCAGAGATGCTGATGGACAGCTGAGGGGAGGTTGGGTTGAAGCCATATCCCCTGCCCCTACCCCTCTCCAACTGCAGCATGTGGTCCAGTGCGTGTTTGTTGCCATCCGGACCATCGGGAATATCGTCATTGTCACCACACTGCTGCAGTTCATGTTCGCCTGCATCGGGGTCCAGCTCTTCAAGGTGAGGGCTTGGTTCTAAATTATCCCATTCCCCTCCCCCTCACAGTAAAATGAGAATAGCCAGAGATTACACCGGGTAATCTCTGACCCCTGCCTTGCTCAAGCCTCCAGACCACCGGAGGGAGGATGAGAAGGGGGCTGCTCCTCAGGCCAGGGCCCCTGCCCTAGCTTTACCCGCCTTTCAGCTGCTGCTCTTCCTTCTGTCCAGAAAGGGAGAAGTACTTTCATCCACCTCTTAAAACCCACAGCAGCTGCTTATTATCAGCAGCATCACGTCCACGCTGCCCCAGCTAACCTGAAGCTGGGGTCCTCCCTGGTTTCTTCTCCATTCTGCCTTTATCTGTTGGTTCTGCATTCCCCTACCTGAAGCATTCTCCTGTTTCACTCCACCCACTGTAAAAACTCCCACTGACTTCCCCCCATCTAATTCTCCCTCCAAACCCAGCACTACATCCTCCCTCCTCCCAAGAACTTCCTAGAGAGGCCAGCTTTCGTGGGCTGGAGCTGCCTGCATTTGAATTCCATTGGGTACTCACAGCACTGATGTCTTTAGTCTCTGCCTGCTTTAGGTGTATGAGTCATGTCTGCCCTATCTGAATTCTGTTCATCTTGAAGTTTTTACCCCACAATCCCTGGCTCAGTGCTGGGTGCTAGAGATGCCCATTCATCATTTTTAATGGATTCATTGGCTAATGAACATCTCTAATCACTCTGTTCTTCTGTCTTCCAGGGAAAACTCTACACCTGTTCTGATAGTTCCAAGCAAACAGAAGCAGAATGCAAGTGAGTGCGTGCAGGCGGGCAGCCTGTGCAGAGCTGGCTACCGGGGGGCTGAGGGCCGGCCTGGGAGGAGGCTCAGCTGGATTCTACCCACATGGAGTCTGGTCTCAGTGGCGTGACACACTCACCTACTCCTGAAGGTTCTGCCTGCTGAAGTTCTCCTAGTCCTAGAACCATGCGGTTTCACCCTACCTCAATGCACCCGAGCCAGCACACCAGGCAATTGGCTGGTCAGGTGCAAAGGGGACATGGGAGACACCAAAATGACTCTCTCTCCTCCTCTCCCAGGGGGAACTACATCACATACAAAGATGGGGAGGTTGACCAGCCTATTATCCAGCCCCGCAGCTGGGAAAACAGCAAGTTTGACTTCGACAATGTCCTGGCAGCCATGATGGCCCTCTTCACTGTCTCCACGTTTGAGGGGTGGCCAGAGTGAGTACAGTAACCAAGGCCCTTTTTCCCTGCTACAGGAGGGCCAAGCCACGAAAGCCCATTACTGCCCAGTTTTGTTACTGCCTCCATTCCTTTCCAGAGCTCATGCCTCCCAGGTGTTTCTGGAACAACCTGGAAGCCATGCCATTGCTGAGACACAGACCCTTGTAGAACATGTCGATGCTTTATCTACATATTTATTTGCAATGCTGGAAATCAAATCCAGAGCCTTGCACACACTAGGCAAGTGCTCTACCGCTGAGCTACATCTCAAGCCCAACATGTCAGCATGCTAGAAACTCCAGCCAAGAATGAGTATTTTCTTGGTTCCCTTTTCCAACCTTAGTGTGATCCCCAAAGTCTCGGTCATTAAATTCCTAGTGTGTGGGAACGGTATGGGAACAGTTCCTCCAGGTGTGGGCCCCTGAGTCACCCAGAGTCCCAGGTTCCTTTCCCAACATTCACTCATTGTGGATGCAAGTGGCTGAGATGTCTCTGATTAAACTGTACCCCAGAATTCTTAGAAAAAGCCTGGTCTATATGCACAGTGGCTGGCAAGAAAGGGACAAAGGAGCCCAAATCCCACTGCAGGATCAATACTTTCCTACGTGAACCTGCCTTGAGTGGGCAGCCTGTCTCCCAGGGATTCTGCATATCTATGCATACACGTCCACATCCACACCCCTCCAGCAGTGCGTGGGTCTTATACACGAGTTGCCGTTTATTAGGTGATATCTGGAAAATAACTGCGTGCTGTGAGGGAGTAAGGAAAAAGCAAAGAGATGACATCTGTCCACGAAGAGTAACAAGCCGACAGGGCCATCTCCCGGGCCCGTGTGAGCAGCATGTGGTGTAAATGCCTTAAGTACAAAGCCAAGCCATTGTGGGTGATCTAAATAAGCACAGGTCACATTCATATTTTTACCTAAGTGGGTATGTCTCACAGCTTTATTTTATGTTCATTCTGACCTCCTATGAGTCCATGCCAGCTTGCAAAGCTGTTTGGGTAGTCACCAGTACATCCATTTGAAATTGATCTCCATGACTCATGTGACATTTAAATAGTTCTTGATCATTTCAAAACACCTCCATATACATTGTATCAACCACTCTGTGGGTAGGAAGGTCAGGAATCACTCTCTGTATCCACTTTGCAGATGAATAATCTTGACTCTCAGAACAGTTGAAGTGATTTGCTCTAAACCACATGACTCCTAGCCTCGAGCTATTTCCTTGGGTAGCAAGGATCCTTAGAAGCAGTGGTGCCAAAGGTGACACTGCTTCTCCAGTTGCCTCCATGGGGCCTGTCTCCTTCCTCAGGCTGCTGTACCGCTCCATCGACTCCCACACGGAAGACAAGGGTCCCATCTATAACTACCGCGTGGAGATCTCCATCTTCTTCATCATCTACATCATCATCATTGCCTTCTTCATGATGAACATCTTCGTGGGTTTCGTCATCGTCACCTTCCAGGAGCAGGGAGAGCAGGAGTACAAGAACTGCGAGCTGGACAAGAACCAGGTAGCTTTCTAATGAGTGGAGGAGGGTGAGAAGGGAGGCAGGGCCATGTAAGGAGCAACAGTTGCCACCAGCCTGTGGCCCATCCGGAAGTCAGCTAAAGTCCAGGGAGAGATCCATGTGGACACCAAGGTCCTCTGTCCCCTCCTCAACTACAACACAGCAGCCTTTCTTCTTGCAAAGGAAATGCAGATCCCTGCAGATCCTAGATCTGGCAAATGCATGCGGCTAACAAGCATTTCTTTTATTTAAAGGTATACTATGGTAGGCTCATGAGAAAAAAACTCATGCCTTATCAAGAGGTTGGCAAGGTTAAACATATGCAAGTGGGTTGGCATCATTGAGAAAAAGGAGAGAAGCTCACACAATGAGGGTGGGGAAGAGGGGGCCTCTAGGAAATCATTCTTACCTGGCTTCTTAAGCAAAACCCAGACACTGGTGCAGGAGGTGGGGGCAGGAAAGAGGTGTAAATGGGAGTGAGATGGTGGTGGCCATGCCAGGGGCACGTTCCATAGCTGGTGAGAAGCTCTGCTCAGACAGTAATGACACTGTTAGGGTGGGACATTGGTTCAGTCGCTGGGTCGGTTCTCCATGGCATTCCCAGTGGGAGGGTCCATGTGAGGACACGTCCCTGTATGCAAGGAAGAGCTGCTGATGAGAGGAGCGCAGCACAGCGTGCTCAGCCCCAACCAGATGGGGGGAGTTAGGCCCCTCGTGGGCTCCAAATCTGCATCCGGGTGTAAATCCTTATCTGGCTGCAGCGTGGGCTTTGGATTGAAAGGAGACAGGAGAGAGAGGCCAGTTAAAAAGAACAGATGAAACAGGCGTGGTGGCATACACCTGTCATCCCAGCACTCTGGGAGTCTAGGGCAGGAGGATAACAAGTTCCAGCCCAGCCTGGACAATTTAGAGTGACTTAGAGAGGGCCTGTCTCAAAAAGGCTCAGTTCAAAGGTCCGGGGTTCAGTCCTCAATTCTGAAAAAAATGAAAACTAAAAATGTGGATGAGAGACAGTTAGAGCCTGATCTAGTATCAGGTAACAACAGTAGAAATGGGAAGAATAGAGATGAAGTCAGCCTCAGCTGAGGGTCACAGAGACCAGAGTAACAGCTCCATTTCCAGGGGGAATCTGGGCACAGCATAGAGAAATGAAATAGTCTTTGCTCAAATCCCAAGAGTTTAATTAGCCTGAACGAGGTCTCCTTCCCTCTCATGTTTTCTGATGTGGTGGACATTAGCAAATACAAGGGATTTAAATTTAAAATGGAAAAAAAATTGAAACAAGAAGCCCTCCAAGGAGAATCTGTGGTATTATTATACCTCAATAATCAATGAGAAAACCAGCTCCAACCTCACACCTACCAGGCAGTAAACCACATTACCAGGCTGGAAGAAGGGAGATGCATGCCCCTTCCCTATGTTCTAGCTAAGGAAATTTGATTAGAAGAGCTCCCTTAAATACAAGGGTGATGGAAAATCAAAGTGTTTTGCAAATCACATCCCAAACCTGGAAGCGTACTGGAGGGATAAGTTGTTTCCATGATATCCAAGGACCCCTCCCCTAGTGTAATCCCAAATATTAAGTTCAGCCATCCAAGTATTGTAATCCTCTTTTTAGTTTTCCTCACAATCCAAAAGGTTATATTTGTGATCCCACTGAGATGTTATTGGAATCCCAGCAAGTTAATTCCAATCTACCACCTCCAATGCAATCCACGGCAAGAGTAAAGACACTAAGACATGTTCCAAGTTAAGGGCAGCCAAGGGGTCCTAAGTCCAATCCCCATGAGAATGTGTGGACAAAGGCCCTGATCCTAGGCCTCTCCCAGAATTTATTACCTTGTGAAGAAGGAGGTGGCTCAGGGATGCGTGACAGTGAGGATGGCAGGAATTTCGTGAGGAACATGAGCTGGCCAGCCATGGAGAGAAAAGGCACCTCTGTAAACTGCAGAGATAAAGATATGCAGAAGGGTCAACTTACGATCTAATTAAGGTAGCAACTGAATTGTTTTGGGAGGCTGACCCTTTGGTTTCTGATATGCAAACTCTTGTGCCCTGGGGAGTCATAGCCTCTTTATCTTGAGGCTCCTACCCCGCTGACATTCTTGGATGTCTCTGGCTCTAACATCTCACTGTGCTCTTATCCTGTAAGGAGAATACTATGTGAGGAAACAGGACTGTCTGTTGGCTTTAGAAATTACATACCAACCAACATCTTGGCTGGCCTTATTTGCAATGCTTAAAGCCAATTGAAGAGAGAAGGAAATACCCTAGCCAGCCCTTTACATATTAGTAAAGGAAATGAATCTCCAAATAATCAAAGTCACAGTAATTGTTTTGCATTCAAGGGGAGTCACTGCAGTTGTCTCCCACACTCCCCCAGAGTGTGTAGCTCCATTGACAGTCCACGTTTTTTTTTGCTGATGCCCCCACACCATCCAGGAAGCTGACCCCACTCTCTCCCTCTTGTCCCTGTGCCCCTGCCAGCGACAGTGTGTGGAGTACGCCCTCAAGGCCCGGCCCCTGCGGCGGTACATTCCCAAGAACCAGCACCAGTACAAGGTGTGGTATGTGGTCAACTCCACCTACTTTGAGTACCTGATGTTTGTCCTCATCCTGCTCAACACCATCTGCTTGGCCATGCAGGTCAGTCTGGGGTCCCGTGTGGGAAGACACAAGGTGTAAGGGAACTGGGAGGCCATCTCAGGTGGTCACCGTCCTGCTAGTCAAAGGAGCAGGCAGGGCAGAAGAACTTCCCTCTTCCCCCAGCTGGGGAAAGTCAAGGGTTCTTCCCAGAGATGATCTCCCCACTGAGCCCTTACGAGCGAATTCCTAGGACCCTGGGTTGATAAAATGGAGCAAATGAAGGAGGTGAAAACCGAGAGGGTGACCAGGAAGCCCTCCTTGTTGATGAGGCGTAGGGTGTGGAGGGGACTGCCATATACAACTGTCTACAAGGAGGGTGGCCATGCCAGAATTTTTGGGTGCTGGAACTCACCAATAAGTCACTGATCCCAGTCAAAGAAGAGACACAGAACTCTGCCAGGCCCTGTTTTCTGAGATGGCAGAGAAGGCGGGGCTCACAGGCTCTCCTGTGCACGCCTGGCTGTCTCCATGGTGTGGGGAAGAGATTTCGGGGGGGCTGGGCTGAGGAGGAGAGCTGTTGAGATGCAGGCCTTGGACAGGGCTGGGCAGAGGGAGTGAGGAGTCGGGGTGTCCCTCCCTCACTGCACCCCTCATGCTCACGGTTCTGGCTCCCTCCCTTCCTCAGCACTATGGCCAGAGCTGCCTGTTCAAAATCGCCATGAACATCCTGAACATGCTCTTCACCGGCCTCTTCACTGTGGAGATGATCCTGAAACTCATTGCCTTCAAACCCAAGGTAGGCCTCCAAGGCAGGCTGGTGGAGAAGAGTGGCAGAAGAGGGGCAGCACGCGTGTGTGGAAAGAATGGGAGTGAGGGGCGGCGTCACCAGCAAGGGCCATCCCTGCCCCGGTGCTAAGCGCTCCAGCTCCTCCACTTGCCAAGTGTCGATGAGCCCTACTCTCAGCTTATGCCCTTGGCCATAACGGGGACTTACAGGGAGCAGAGTGAGCCACGACCCTTCTCCTCCTGTTTCCCACAAACTGGCAAACCAAACCTCTAGGCCCAGCCCCCCAGACCCAGCCAGGACTGTGTTCTACCCTCTGCCATTTCAGTAGCCAGCCGTGAGGTTCACTCATGGCTCTGTGCACCAGCCTCTGGACACTTCCCATTTTTGCCTCAGAGGCTGTCATTGCTCCCTGACAGCCTCCAGGACAGCAGTGCTGCAAGCTTCTCTGTGCTGTTCCTTGTAAGGGAGAGGAGGTTGGAACTGCTGGCAGATGATGCTGGGTAGGTCGGGCTGGATGACCTGTCACTTCAGACGATCTGTGCCTCCCAGGCAGCCACCTCATGGCCCCGGATGGTGTGGGCAGGCTGATGTGAGCAGCACTCTCCACCTTGGGCCTCTGTGGACAGGTCAGAAATGCTGGCATTCCTAGCCAGGAGTTGACGACACATGGGCAGCTACTTCTCAGGGAGGTGAGACAGCAAGGCAGTGGCCCCGGTGGCCACCACAGCAGCTCGTGGAGAGTGAAGGAAAGGAAAGAGTGGCGGAATGACAGTTACAGACCTTTCGCGTCCCTCCCTTTACTGGTTCTCTCAGATGCAGCAGAGATGAACAGGAGCCACAAAGGACACATCCCTGGCCACATCTTCTGTGCTTGTTCAGATTTTTACTTGTCTGAGGATTAACAGGGGCGGGGAGTTTCTCCTTGGTCATTGATCACCTTCACTGACAGGACTGAATTAATATTCCAACAACATGTTTTCTAATGTGCCGTGTGCTACACACATTGAATGTTCCCCATTCAGCTTTCCCTAGAAGACACACACCATTACCCCCACTGCGGGGAGGAGAGGAGGGAAGTGCCCAGCATCAGCAGTGTCACTCTCCATTAGCTGGCAGAACAAGGTTGCAGTCCGGCATCTCTGGCTCCAAAGTTTATGTATTTTCCACCAGACCACAATGTTCACGAGCACAAATCCATGCCAGCTACTCTGCTGGGGATTTTCAGAAAGAGGGGATCAACTTTGAGGCATTTAAAAGACAGGGAAGGTAGTATCCTTACATTCTTCCTCTCATAGGATGCATACGGGTTTCAGCTAATTTTCAGAGAATGAGACCCCTAATAAACATCACATGGTGACAATAGTGGTGTTCCCTACCTCCTCCAGGGAAATAAATATACCTACCCTTCATGGCCTTCCTCCCAGGTCCAACCCCATGGAGGGGATAAATTGTGCCCCTGCTAGGGAGGACCCCTGAATCACCCCAGCCTCTAGGGCCCAGCGTCTTTGTCCACATGTAGGCCCGTGGCGGATCCAGGACCCAGTGGTACCGACAGGTCTGCCTCCCACAGCAGTGTGACCAGGGGAGGCCAGGAATGCAGGGTCGCTGCGGAGCGGTGTTTTGGTGGCAGATGACAGCCTCTCAGCAGGGAAACCAGCATCGTGTTCACTGTGTCAGGGGACACGTGGTTTCCGTACTCCAAAGCCTTGAGTCACCCGTGCGTGACTCACATGTGTTCCTGATGCTGTGTGAGGTGGGCTGCAGAACCCCGCAGTGGACTTCCTAAATCATGTCTCAGGGCAGTGGACTGGGCAGCCTGCCCTGGGGAGCATGTGAACTTGACACCTCAGGAGCCTCAAGCTGAGACCCCTCCACCTGAGCCATGAAAACCAAGGAGCACAGATCCCTGGGAAGTGGCCAGGTAAGGCAGCCTAACCACAGAGGGCCCCAGGCTCCCTCAGTCTCTGGGTCTCTACCTCGGGGGCGTGGGGGTAAAATGGGAGAGACTCTTTCCAGAGAAAAGCAAGTGCCAGCCTGGAGCCTTTTGCATTTCACACATGCCAGGTTCAGTCTGTGGGGTAAAGGGAAAAGATCTTTCCTCTGAATTTTCCCGAAAGGGCTTCTGACAGCAGAGGGAAAAGGCCACTGGCTAAGGCTGACAGCGGGGAAGAGGAGTGAGGAAGCTCAGTTCCCCTGGATCCTTGCTAAAGAGTAGATGCTAAGAAGGGTTTGCAGGCAGAAAAACAAAGCCCCTTGAAGCTCCGGTACAATTAACTAGCAGGCTCTTGCCTAAGAACCAGCGACTTCAGTGACCTAAAAAACAGCTTTTATGTCTCACCGTAAAGTAAGACTTTTGTCTGAATTTTTTTTATTTCGCTGGCATGATTGTTGATATATAGTGGGTTGGTACTTTGAAACATTCTCTGCAGAAGGCCAGTTAGGCAGCCAGGCTGTAGAAGATTGGTGTGTTAGTCAGATTTGTGTTACTGCTGTAAAATATCCGAAGCAGCTAACTTATAAAGAGGAAAAGGTTTATTTAGCTCCCCGTTTGGGAGGTTGGAAGACATGGTGCCTGTATTGGCTCAGCTCTGGCGAGGGTGGCAGGTGGTGGCACGTCATGGAAAAAGTGCACAGGTCAGCAGAACCCTCACCCCTGCAGCCGGGAAGTCCCCTTCGTGTGCGCAGCCCCAAGAACTAAGATCCTGTAGTTCCATCCCACTTCCTGCTCCTTCGCAATAACACCGCCCTGGAGGACTGAGCCTTTGACAAGTGAAGCTTGGGGTCGGGGCACTCAACATTTAAACCATGGCAGTTGCCAATCATCAAAGCCAGGGACTCCAAAAGTGTCACCACTGGAGTTGATCCGTCCGCTGGCCAGCGTGTTCTCCTGCTTCTTTCTCTCATGGCCTTCACGGTGATTGATAATCTCCATCTTTCCATCCTATCCATTCTCCGAACCACTCAAGGAAAGTAAGTTTACCAAAGCGAGTCCCTTCCCTAAACTCAGCTGCCCATCTCCTTACATTCATACACTGTGCACATAAAATAGTCACAAGAAAACAAAGGTGAGTGTACACTACTGAGAGAAATTCACCCCTCCACACACATGCGAAACCTCAGGGCTCTGGGTTGTTGACTAGTGGGATGGTAGGAAGCAGTGCTGATGTTAAGGTAACAGCAAGCCAGAGGAAATGCCTTCCCTGCTGGTAGAGGAAGCTATGGAGCTGCCCGGGCCCTGTATGATTAGGCAGGACTAAGGTGGTCAACACAAAAAAGGTTTTGTGTCTAAGGTGACTAAGTAGCCAAGTTGTCCTTCTATCACGAACTAAAATTTACCAGCAAAGACAAGAAAAAAAGTTCGTAGCACACTGTGTGTGTGTGTGTGTGTGTGTGTGTGTGTGTGTGTGTGTGTGTTTTGAGACAGGGTCTCACTGTGCAGTTCAGGTTGGTCGTGGGCTCACTTTGTAGTGCAGGTTGGTCTCAAACTAGCAAGGATCCTCCTGCCTCAGCCTCCCAAGTGCTAGGATTACAGGATGGCTACCATGCCTGGCCATGTAACATACTTTTTATGTTAAGTGCTGAAAACATGTCTAGTATTTAAGAATAAACCTAACAAAAAGTGGCTCAGATCCCTATAGAGAAAATTATCAAACTTTATAAAGAAGATTGGAAGAGAAACTAAACTCGGGAGGTATATTCACAAATTAGGAAACTCAATATTAAGCTAGCCCATTCCCATAATCCCAGAACTCTAGGAGGCTGAAGAAGGAGAATCACAAGTTTGAAGCCAGCCCAGGCAACTTAGCAATGTAGAAAAACCCCATCTCAAAATTCAGCAATGAAAAGGGCCAAGAAGGCAGCTCCGTTCAAACTCCCGCACAAACAAAACAAAACCACAACATTTAGAGAGGTCCTTTCTCCTCAAGTTGATCCATAGATTCATTCAATACAATAGCAGTTAAAACTTCACATGGGCTCTCCCCACCATGAGAAGGGCAGGTGAGAAAGGAGTCACTCAGCAGCTCCTGCAGGACCAACAGGGCTGGGCTGTGCTGGCCCGAGGTCCGTGCCTGGCTCTGCAGCTTTGGCCTCATGGCAGGAGAGTGCGGGCCCTGTGGGAAGAACGAGTATCAGTCACAGACCTTCTGCCCTTTCAGCAACGGAGTTAGGCACCAGAAGGGACAATGATGTCGCTGGGTGACCTGGGAGTGCTGTTGACAGTGTCTTGGCAAGGGTAACAGGAAAGTGGAGTTGATGGCAGCCTGGAAGTGGCCGCAGGCTTGTCCCCCAGAGGAAGTTGGTCTGCCCCAGGGAGCAGGAGTTCACCCAGGTCCGAGGGGAGGTGTCTGACTACGTCTTCCCTCCGGATCCACTCAGGCAGGCCATGGAGGGGGAGAGCAGAAACTGCTCTCTCAGACTGACTGCGGCCTGTGGTCGGCTGCAGGTATCTTCGCTGGACTAGAGCCCGGCAGCGGGTAAACCATGCCCATACCTCCCTAGGGCCAGTGCGCAGGGGACTGAAGCCTGGCGCTCTCCCTGGTCAGAGCTCTAGGCTGCTGTCTGCCTTTCTCCCAGCCTGAGAAGGGAGCAGCTGAGAGGACAGGGGAACCAGAGTGGAGACTCACTGCTGCCGCCAGCCCCAGCCCTGCTCTGGTCCAGCTTTTCACACCCGCAGTCTCAGGGCTCACTTTCACATTGCAAGACCTACTAGGACCCACAGGCATTCAGATCAGGAGGAGGAAAGGAAGCCTGTGGACCAACATGAACTGTCTCACAGCATACTCTGTGCCGCCTAGGTGTGCCCCTCTTGCAGCTGGGGAGCCCTGGAAATGTGGACAGTGTGTGGACGAATTGATTTTCAAATTTTATTTATCTAGATTAATTTCAATTTACATTCACAGAGCTGCATGTGGCCCTAGCTGCTGGGGTGGGCAGTACACTCTGGGCTCCTGTGTTCCCGTGACAGCCTGGGCTCTGCTCTCCTCTACGTCCAGGCTTTGTCAGCCCAG